TGTGTGTGTGTGTGTGTGTGTGTGTGTGTGTGTGTGTGTGTGTGTGTCTGGGTCTCCAGGTGTCTGCCTCCTGTGTGGTCCGAGGACCCCCAGCCCCCTACACCTCCTTCCACAGGACAGCGACTGTCTGGAAGAGCCTGGGCCCCTTCTGGGGGGAGGAGTACACCGTGCACCTGCCTCTCGATTTCCACCAGCTGGCCTTCTATGTGCTGGACGAGGACACCGTTGGGTGTGTGGCTGGGGAAAGTGGGATGCGTGGGTTGGGGACCCAAGCCTGGGCACCTGAGGGGAGAGGGTATGTGGGTCCACACCCCACAGGGGCGTGCCCTCTCACCCAGACCTTGACGCCTGCACCCGCTTCTCTCTGGTTGGGGCAAGGGAGTCCCTGACTCAGACCCTCATGTGCCCACCCTCCTGCAGGCATGACGACGTCATCGGCAAGATCTTGCTGAGCAAGGAGGCCATTACAGCTGACCCCCGAGGTGGGCGAGCGGCAGGGGCAGAGGGAGGAGGGGGCCATGCTCAGGCTGGGCATTTGCGGGGGCATAGCACATGGCACCAGGAAGCACAGAGCCTTCAGTGGAAACTTATTTCTCTTGTTGCTTTTGTCTTTAAATTTTGTTTGTTTTTAATTGTTGTTAGAGATGAGGTCTTGCTCTGTCCCCCAGGCTGGAGTACGGTGGTGTTACCATAGCTCACTGCAATCCTGAACTTCTGGCTCAAGTGATCCTCCCATCTCAGCCTCCTGCCTAGCTGGGATTACAGGTGCATGCCACCACACCCAGCTAATTTTTTCAGAAATATCTTGTAGAGACGGAGTCTTGCTATGTTGTCCAAGCTGGTCTCGAACTCCTGGGCTCAAGCAATCCTCCCACCTTGGCCTCCCAAAATGTTGGGAGTACAGATGTGAGCCACTGTGCCCAGCCTAGTCTTTACTTTTTGAGCAGTTAATTTGTTTTCCTAGTTCAATATTCAGATTTTACAATAAGCACCCCGGCTATTCTACTCCCTTCCTGACATTGTCAGCTCCTTGTATGTCCTTCTAGAAATATTTTAAACATATACAAGCAAGTAACAGTGGTAGCGGCAGGCTGGGCGTGGTGGCTCTCCCCTGTAATCCCAGCACCTTGGGAGGTAGAGGCAGAGGCAGGAGGATCGCTTGAGCCCAGAAGTCCAAGAGCAGCCTAGATAACATAGGGAGACTCCATCACCACTACAAATTATTTAAAAACAGTAATAGCAGCAAACACTTATATACCGTATATATAAATATAACCATGTATATTTGTGTATTATAAATATAAACATATATTTATGTATAATAAATATATATATAAATATGCTGACCACTAAGTTCTTTACATGTATGGTCTCAGTTACCATCATAACCCCATGAGGTACGTTCATCATAATCCTGAGAGGTAGGAGCTTTAATTATTAATGCCCACTTTACAGGTGAAAAAACTGAGGCACAGAGGGTTAAATGACTTGCTCAAGACCACATTATTAAGTGAGGCAGCCAGGATTTGAACCAAAATTATCTGGTTCCAGAGTCTGGGCTTGTGTGTGTGTGTGAGAGACAGGGTCTCATTCTGTCATCCAGGCTGTGACACAGTGGGGCAATCTCAGCTCACTGCAGCCTCAACCTCCCAAGCAGCTGGGACTACAGTGCAGTACCACACCTGGCTAACTTTTGTATTTTTTGTAGAGGCAGGGTTTCACCATGTGAAACCAGGCTGGTCTTGAATGGTCTGAAGTGATTCACCTGCCTCAGCCTCCCAAAGTGCTGTGGTAACAGGTGTGAGCCATTGCACTCAGCTGAGTCTGTGCTCTTAATACTGCACTGTTTTTTCTGTGCTTATACAAATTGCAGCCTTTTACACTCTGCTCTGTGTCTTGCCTTTTAAAAAATTTTAATTGATTAATTTATTTTTGAGATGGAGTCTTGCTCTGTCACCCAGGCTGGAGTGCAATGGCACAATCTCAGCTCACTGCAACCTTTGCCTCCTGGGCTCAAGCAATTCTCCTGCCTCAGCCTCCTGAGTAACTGGGATAAAAGGCACCTGCCACCACACCCGGCTAATTTTTGTATTTTCAGTAGAGACAGGGTTTCACCACCTTGGCGGGACTGGTCTCGAATTCCTGACCTCAGGTGATCCACCTGCCTCAGCCTCTCAAAGTGCTGGGATTACAGGCATGAGCCACCACGCCTGGCCTGTATCTTGCCTTTTTACTTCACTAAGTATCTCTAAGATCTTTCTATAACAGTGCTTTCAGAGTTTCTGCATTCTTCGTTTGCTATGGCTTCGTGGTGCTCCATTGTGTGGCTATACCACTGTTTATTTAGCTAGTTCCCTATTGATGGCATCTGGGGAGTTCACAGTCTTTCCCTGGCTCAAGGAATGCTACAATAACTGGCCTGTACAAATATACTTTCACACGTATGTAAGTTCTAGCCATCAGTCAGATAAATTCCTAGAGGTGAATTGAAGAGTACGTACATTCGTGTACTTGATAGCTGCTGCTAAATCACCCTCCATGGAGGAGGTAACAATTTACTCACCCCACGCTCTCTCGCAAACAGCTCTCAAAACTTTTGATCGTGTATCTGACAGGCTAAATATTACCTCAGCGTAGGTTTACTTTGCACCTCTCCATGAGTGAGATTGAAAACCTTTTTTATATACAGTTTTGAAGAATCACTTCATTTCCTCTTCCATTTATTGTCTATTCATATTATACATGAATTTCGCCCCACACTAGGTTGTTTGCCTTTTCTTGTTGATTTGTAGGAGCTCTTTACATATTGGGGGAGTTAATTCTTTGTCATATCAGCTGCAATATTTTTTCTCCATTTGTCTCTTATGTTTTGACTTTGCCTATAATTTTTTCACGTATACAATTTCTTTTTCTATTTTCAATCTCATATTTTTCTTTTGGTTCTGAATTTTCTATTAGACCTAAAAAGACCTTCCCAACTCTAAGATTAAGCGAATGGAGCGAGACTCCTTCTCAAACAAAAATGAAAACAAAAGCAAACACCATTAGCTAAAACCTAACAGGGCATGATACACAAAAAGCAAGGAGATCATGAAGGATTTCCCTGAAAGCAAACATCAATATCAATTCTACGGTCAACAAAGAGACTAAAACTTGGACTGGGGGAAGGTGGATGTTACAAGATATGAGGATTCTCCATTAGGCTGAGACCCTCGAGGGGTCCCAGAATAACCAACTCCTCTCCAGGGATAAGCATCTTCACTTAGGTTTCCCACAGAGTAAGATCAAACAAACGTGATTTCACAATCAAAGATCAGCAAACACGCAAGGAAATGAGACACCATAGTCAAGAGTCAGCAGAAACAATAGTCATCTGATTTAGACCCAAAAAGACTTTAGATTCTGTAATTATAATATACAGGATTTTTAAAAAAGAATCAGATTTAAAGAAATAAAATATGTAATCACAAGAAAGGCCGGCAACCACAGCAATAAATTACAAGTAATTTTGCAGGCAGATTTTTAAAAAGAACCAAATAACATTTTTAGAGGTAAGTATAATTGTTGAAATAAAAAATTTAAATGGCTCAGTGAAACATCAGATTATTCACAGTTAAAGGGAGATTTAGTGAACTGGAAGAAAGGTCTAGAGAAATTTTTCAGAATTCATCTTAGAGGAAAAGAAGGAAAAAAAATAAAAGTTCAGAGACATGGAAAATAACTGTGGAGGTTTAACATGTATTTAACTAGAGTTCCAGAAGGATAGAATTTTAAAAATTAGAGACAGGCAAAAGTCATAACAAAAATTGGGAAGAGGAAATAATTTTTAAAAATCGATCTAGAATTTTACAGAACTAAAGGAGGGATATGATTCCATAAATAGGAGAAGCACAATTTTAAATTTTAAGCAAGATTAAAAAAATCTGTATCTAGATGCATTGCGATGAAACTGCAGTGCATCAAAGACACAGTCCTCAGAATTGTATTAGGCAGAAAAGGCTGGGCATGGTGGCTCCCGCCTGTAATCCCAGAGCTTTGGGAGGCCGAGGCAGGCAGATGGCTTGAATTCAGGAGTTCGAGACCAGCCTGGGCAACATGGCAAAACCTCATCTCTACAAAAACCACAAAAAATTAGCTGGCTGTGGTGGTACACATCTGTAGTTGCAGTTACTGGGGAGGCTGAGGCAGGAAGATTGCCTGAGCTTGGGAGACTGAAGCTGCAGTGAGCCGACATTGTGCCACGCCACTGCACCCCAGCCTGGTGATGGAAAGCCAGAGGTCACTGGAACAATGTCTTTCAAAGTGTTGAGCGAAATAGGGAGAAATACCCAAGATTTTTTTTTTTTTTTTTTTTTTTTGAGGGGAGAGTAGGTTGGGATGACATGATAGAGTTCTTTTTATACCATAGCGAAGTGTGTGACAGCACGTGGCTCCTAGCATTGGCCCTAGGACTAACGACACTGCCTGCGTTCAAATTCTAGCTCTGCCGTTTGCTAGCTGTGGGACCGTGGACAAAGCTCTTCCTCCCTGGGCCTCATTTTCCTCATCTGAAAATGGGGATAATTGCAGCATCTGTATCAGAAGCCAGGGTCTTAACACATTTTTAATTTTAATTGAGGCAGGGCGTAGTGGTTCATGCCTGTAATCTCAGCACTTTGGGAGGCCGAGGTGGGTAGATCGCTCGATCTCAGGAGTTCGAGATCAGCCTGGGCAACACAGTGAAACAAAACAGTACAAAAAGTATCCAGGCATGGTGGTGCTGCATACCTGAAGTCCCAGTTAGTCAGGAGGCTGAGGCAGGAGAATCGCTTGAGCCCAGGAGGCAGAGGTTACAGTGAGCCAAGATCGTGCCACTGCACTCTGTCCTGGGCAACAGAACCAGACCCTGTCTCAAATAATAATAATAATAATGAAAATAATGCTAACTGAATTTTTAAGTTAACGCAATGTCCAGTACATGGCAGACACTTCATATATGCTGGTGCCTGTGACCTCCAGGGATTGACAGCTGGATCAACCTGAGCCGAGTGGACCCAGATGCAGAAGTGCAGGGTGAGGTTTGCCTGTCGGTACAGATGCTGGAGGATGGGCGGGGCCGATGCCTTCGCTGCCATGTGCTTCAGGCCAGGTATGCTTAAGGTGGAGGTGGTGTGGAGGGTAGTCTGAGAATGAGCAGGAGTCCCTTGGGTCTCCCCTGCTGCCTTGCCTTTGGGACCTCCTCACCCCTGGGGCACTTCTGGGCTGACGGTCAGGTTCCATGTATGGACAAATAGTCCAAGCTCATTGGGTTGTAAGTTCCTGGGGCAAAATCCTGTTGAGTCCCCAGGGACTAGCAGCAACAGACCAGACACTCAGGATGACAGGTGACAGGTGAGTGTGCAGGTGTAGTCATCAAATTGTAACTAACAAATACCCAATTCATACTGGCTTAAGCAAAAAAGTACTTTATTGGCTCATATGACTGACATATAGCTTCAGGCATGGCTGGATCCAGGTGCTCAAATGATGCCATTGGGAATCTGTCTTTTAGCTCTGCTGATCTTTGTGTTAGCTTTGTTCCTAGGCAGCCTCTCCCCAGGTGAGAGATGGCCCTAGCAGCTCCAGGCTGGCCCCCTGCCAGCCTAGCCACTCCAACAACAACAAAAAAACACTTCCATTTCCAACCACTGTCCTGGGATTAATTTTGACCGGCTCAGGCTGGGGCACATGCCTATCTCTGAACCAATTACATTGAATAATGGGTCAGGCCTGAGTCACAAGCCCATTCCTGGGGCGGAGGGAGGGATTGGCCCCCACTAAGTCATGTGAGAGAGGGGTAGTGAGGAAGACGGGTCCTGTCCCAAAGAAAAATCAGACGGAAGATGGATGCAAGACCAGGAAAAATCACAGGTGGCCCTCCAGGGGCAGCAGCTCACCCATCCTCCCTCCTACCAACTCATCATGGCCATCCCCTTCTCCTTTCCTCAGCTCTCCGTCATCTTGCTCCCCCAATGCCCCCACCCTTCCCCCCTCTCTCTCATCCTGTCTTGCTGCCTCTTTTTCACCACCCCAGCTCTCACTTTTAGGCAAATCCATGCCCAGATTGGGAAGGGCCTCCTATTTCTAGCTTGCTGTGTGACCATAAAGCCCTTCCTTGCCCTCTCTGGGCCTCTCCCACCACCTCCAGACTTTTGCTTCCAGCCTTGGCCCCAGCTGGGGCTCCCTAGAGTCTGGTTGAGGGAGAACCAGGGGGGAAGGGGACAGGCTGAAGGACTCAGCAGGGGGCAGGGGCTCCTTGTCTTTCTTGTGCCCATGGTCCCTTCCCCAGCCACAGGGCTGTGCAGGATCCTTGCAGGCATGAGAGGGACTGATGATTGCTGTCGCTTAGCAACCAGGCCAGCTCCTAGGAAACCGAAGAAGGCTTTGGATGCTGAGCAGGAGTGGGAAGGGAGCAGGAGGAAGAAGGAAGCAGCCCCCGGTGTGGGGGTGGGGTGGTGGTGTGTTCCTGGGTTTGGGAAACCACAAGAAGGAGGGATGGGGAAGCTGCCTGGAGTAAGACTTTTGGGTTGTCATGGCAACCAACGGGAAGGAGTCCCTGCCTCGTGCCTTCTCTTGGGTCCTGGACAAGGTGTGGGCATGGGTGTTTGTTGAATGAATAAATGAATTGAGCAGCCACCACCTGCCAGGTGCTGTGCTAGGCCCTTCACACACATCATCCCACCTCATCCTCAGCTCTATGAGGTTGGTCTGTTATTACTCCCATTTTTCAGGTGAGGAAATGAAGGCTTAGAGAGGGGAAGTGACTTTTCCTAGTGTCCCCTAGCCAATGAGTGCAGAGCCAGGCTTTGAACCTATGCATCAAGTTTCCCATCTGGGGCCTCCAGGGAATCTAAGGCTCTCCCCACCACCCCCACTGCACTTGCTGGGCTTTGTGATGCAGGACAGCACTTTTTGGTGCCTCGTTTCCTCATCTGGAAAATAGGGACATACGAGTGCCTCCCCACAGGGCGATGACAGGAAGACGCTGGGTCCTGATGGGCAAGGTGATGGGTGTCCCTAGCTGGACCCTTACAGTGGAATAGTTCGTTGTCCTGGAAACCAGCAACATTGGAATGATCTGCTCGGATCAGCCTTTCCAAGGCCCACCTTGGGTGCCGTGTTCCCTCACTCCTTTCCCCGTCTGTTCCCAGGGACCTGGCTCCCAGAGACATCTCTGGCACATCTGACCCATTCGCACGTGTGTTTTGGGGCAGCCAGAGCTTGGAGACCTCAGTGAGTGGTGGGGAATGAAACCGGGAAGGAGTGGGGCATCTGGTGGTGGGGTGGGGGTCCCCATCAGCTCTCCCACTCACAGACCACTTCCCTCGTCCTCAGACCATCAAGAAAACTCGCTTCCCGCACTGGGATGAAGTGCTGGAGCTGCGGGAGATGCCAGGTGCCCCGTCCCCACTTCGGGTGGAGCTCTGGGACTGGGACATGGTGGGCAAGAACGACTTTTTGGGCATGGTGAGCCTCACTCCCTGCAACACCCTCCATGGCTCCTCAGTGCCTCCAAGGGGGAAGATGAGACGGGCTGAGTCCTGGCTCCCAGAAGGGTGGATGTGCAGCTGGCTCATCAGGTTCTCCTGGTTAGGCCTGGGTGATGCATTTCCATTGCTCTATTGTACAGGTGAGGAAACTGAGGCTGTTAAAGGTATAGGAACCTACCTAAGATCACAGGGCAGGCCCAGATTCTTATTCTGGGATGAGAGCATGACAGATGACTGTGTGCTGGCCCTGTGCTGAGTGTCTCTCCCACAGAGCCTTGCTGCTTAAACTTCATGGCCACCCTTTGAGGCTGGGCCTGTTGCTATCCCCATTTTACAGATGGGAACACTGAGGCTCAGAGAGGCTAAGTGTCTTTTTCAAGGTCGTAAGGCTAAGAAAGAGCAGAGCCAGGATTTGAGTTCGGATCTCTTTCACTACAGACCTACGCCCCTAACTCCTACTCCTGGAAGTCCTAGGCTCAGGGTTTTTCTCCTGGTTTTTCCATCTTTGGAAACAGCCTGGTAGTTTCTCAAATAGTTAAAGATAGAGTTACTCTATGGCCTAGCAATTCCTCTCTTAGGTATATACCCCAAAGAAATGAAAACCTATGTTCACACACAAAACTCTGACATTACTGTTCAGCATGAGCCATAACAACCCAAAATGGAGAAAACTCAAGTGTTCACCATACATAAACAAAATGTGGTCTCTCAATACAATGGAATATTATTCAGCCATAAAAAGGAATGTGGTACAGTAAGTCCTCACTTAATGTCATCCACAGGTTCTTGGAAACCATATCCTCAATCAAAATGACATACTGTATACTGGAGGAACTTAACTCTTGCTTATCTTTTAATTTTTAATTTTTTTTTTTTTTTTGAGAAGGAATCTTGCTCTGTTGCCCAGGCTGGAGTGCAGTGGCATGAACTCAGCTCGCTGCAACCTCCACCTCCCGGGTTCAAGCAATTATTTTGCCTCAGCCTCCCAAGCAGCTGGGATTACAGTGCACACCAGCATATCTGGCTAATTTTTTTATTTTTAGTAGAGACAGGGTTTTACCACGTTGGTCAGGCTGGCCTCGAACTCCTGACCTGAAGTGATCTGCCCACCTCAGCCTCCCAAAGTGCTGGGATTACAGGCATGAGCCACCCGCCTGGCCTTAATTCTTGCTTATAGTAATTAGCCATGGTATGTTTGATCTCCTTACATGTTGTGAGTCAGGACTTACTGTACAGGCACATGCTACAACATGGATGAACCATTATGCTAAGGAGAAAAAGCCAACCTCCCCCCCCCGCCAAAACACGTATGATTCTGTTTATACGAAATGTCTGGAATAGGCAAATCTATGGACACAGAAAGCTGTTTAGTGGTTGCCAGGGGCTGGGGGGCAGGAAGTGACTGGTCATGAGTACAGGCTTTTTTAGGGCTTGTAGACAATGTTCTGGAATCAGCGGCACAAGTAATTGCGGCAACTCTTTGAATATACTAAAGATCATTGAACAGTACACTTTAAAAAGGTGAATTGTTCGGGATGTGAATTCCATTTCTATAAAGTTCTTTTAAAAGACAGAGGGTGGGGGTTGAGGGTCTTCAGAGCTGTCCTCATTCCTTTTGATAGATGAAGTTTATGTCCCTAAACAGAGCTGAAAATACACTCAGTCCAGACATGCTATCTCTAGCAGCTGTGTGACCTTGGGCAAATCACTCCACGTCTCCGAGCCTCAGTTTCCTCAACTGTAAATTAAGTGTCCCTGGGATGCCCTCAGTGTCCTGGCAGGAGCTGATAATTTGAGACTTGCTGGAGAGAAGGAGGGGGCCCTGGCAGGCCATTCTGCCTCTCTGTGGGTGGGCGGTGTGCTCTTCCAGGGCTGGGTGAGACCTGAGCAGGGCAGGGCCCGGCTGAGGGTCTGTGTGTCTCTCCCTAAAGGTGGAGTTCTCTCCGAAGACCCTCCAGCAGAAGCCGCCCAATGGCTGGTTCCGCCTCCAGCCCTTTCCCAGAGCAGAGGAGGATTCTGGGTAAATGTGGGTGCAGAGGGAGGGGGCCAGGCTGGAGTCACGTTGGGCAGCATCCACAGCTTGTGGGCAGAGCCCATGCCAGCCCACACACTATCACTATGCCACTTAATTCATGCATTCATCCGTTTAACAACTGTCTACGGACGGTCTCTCAAGGTGTTTACATAAGTCCACGTGAGTTCGCTTTACACCCATTCACCTATTCACGTGCAAACATGTTGGTTCACATTTGATGTATATTCAGAACTTTGGGTCCTTCCACATGTGTCCGTACTGTTTATTCTTGAGCACACTTGGTTAAACCATCTCTGCTTGTCCTGTCTTGTTTATACCCATCAAGATCAGTTCACACCTGTTTGTACTGGCCACACCTGTTCACACCCGTCCACACTTGTTCACACTGCTGACACTCATCTACACTTGTCCACACATCCTGTACATAATTTGTGTACCCCGGCCATATCTACCCACTCCGGCCACAGCTGTTACATTGTTTGTGTACATTCCTTTTTTAGTTTTGAGATGGAGTCTTGCTCTGTTGCCCAGGCTGGAGTACGGTGGTATGATCTCAGCTCACTGAAACCTCTGCCTCCAGGGTTCAAGTGATTCTCCTGCCTCAGCCTCCTGAGTAGCTGGGATTACAGGCCTGTGACACCACGCCCAGCTAATTTTTCGTATTTTTAGTAGAGTCAGAGTTTCACCATGTTAGCCAGGATGGTCTTGATCTCCTGACCTCGTGATACGTCTGCCTTGGCCTCCCAAAGTGCTAGGATTACAGGCGTGAGCCACAGTGCTCGGGCTGTACATTCCTGTTTATACCTGTTTGCACCTGCCTACCCCTGTTCACGCCTGTCTGCACGTGTCTATACCTGCCCACACCTGGCTTGTTTTGCGAATATCCACCCTCTTCCCATATGTGCCCGTTGGCCTCTCGTGGCTCTCTACACCTGGCCATGCGCACTTGTGCTCTTCCATAAAGGCATCGTTTCTTTTCTTTTTTCCTTTTTATTTGAGATAGAGTCTTGTTCTGTCACCCAGTCTGGAGTGCAGCGGCACAATCTCAACCTCTGCCTCCCAGGTTCAAGCGATTCTCCTGCCTCAGCCTCCTGAGTAGCTGGGACTACAGGTGTGTGCCACCACGCTGGCTACTTTTTGTATTTTTAGTAGAGATGGGGTTTCGCCATGTTGGTCAGGCTGGTCACAAACTCCTGACCTCCAGTGATCCACCCACCTCAGCCTCCCAAAGTGCTGGGATCACAGGCAGGAGCCACCGCACCCAGTCGGATCTTTCATTTTCTTATGATCTGATCCTGGACAGGGGGAGCCTGGGTGCCCTGCGCCTGAAGGTGCGCCTGATCGAGGACCGCGTCCTGCCCTCCCAGTGCTACCAGCCTCTCGTGGAGCTGCTCATGGAGTCTGTGCTGGGGCCAGCAGAGGTGGGTGCAGCAGGCAAGCAATGCTACCGGGGGTGCTGGGGGTCCAGACCCTGGCCTCCCCTGCCTCACAGAGCCCTATCTAGGCCCATCAGCTTTGGAGGTCCCAGGGGCCGAGGTCACCTCTGCCTCGCGTCCCCACCTAGGAGGACACTGCTAGCCCCCTGGCTTTGCTGGAAGAGCTGACCTTGGGGGACTGCCGCCAGGACCTTGCCACCAAGCTGGTGAAACTCTTTCTTGGCCGGGGACTGGCTGGACGCTTTCTGGACTATCTCACCCGGCGTGAGGTGGCTCGGACCAGTGAGTTGCCCGCACAACCCCCTGCCATCACCCCCTCTCCCCAATGATGGGCCTGCAGGAGGGTCCCTGAGGGAGGAATGGGGAGGTATCAGGCAGAGGGAAAGGGCTTCTTGTTCTGTGGGTCCCTGTAATGTGCACCCCCAGACAACTGGGAGCCCAATTGCCTGCTCAGGCCCTGGTTTTGCCACTCGTGAGCTGTGTGGCCTCAGGCAGTTCACTTAACCACTCTGGGCCTCTGTACTGTGAATGGGGTTGATGTTTTGGGTCTTCCTGATTCTTGGGGCTGGAAGAATCATGACCCCCACCTTGGGTAAGTGGGGTGAGCTGGGTGCAGCTCCCCAAATCCCAGCAAACACTTCCTCCTGCCCTCCCAGTGGATCCCAACACCCTCTTCCGTTCTAACTCCCTGGCATCCAAGTCGATGGAACAGTTTATGAAGGTGAGTAGGTGAAGGCCTGGGGGGGCAGGCACAGCTTCCTCGAGTCAGTCCTTCCCAGTGCCTGCCTCGATCCCACACTCGGCTGGCTTCACACAGCACTGGGTGGCCGAGCTGCAGTGCTGGTGGCTGGTGCCAGGCCTCGCCCTGGGTTGCACCTGGGTGTGTCCCCCACCCCCCCACCCCAGCCCTGGCCTCTCTGAACCTCTCCCTGCATGGTGCCCCCTGTGTCCCGCTCATGGGCATGCCCTGGCCTCGCCTTCAGCCCTGCCCTGTGTGGTGCCCCCTGCCCCCAGCTCGTGGGCATGCCCTATCTGCATGAGGTCCTGAAGCCCGTGATTAGCCGTGTCTTTGAGGAGAAGAAGTACATGGAGCTGGATCCCTCCAAGATGGACCTGGGCCGTACCCGGTGAGCAAAGCCCTGACCCTCTGATGGCCTCTCTTGGCTACCCAGAGCCCTGTCTGGGGACTGGGTTCATGCTGACTGCCACCCACCCTGGGGGCACGGCTGCTCAGGAGCTCAGTGGCTGAGCTCAAAGCCTTATACACGAGCCCTTAGGTCCTCAGGCTGTAGTATAGGGTTATGTTTGGGACTCTGATACTAAGCTCCCTAGGTTTGTAATCCCAGCTCTGCCACTACTGGTGGACAAAATTGCCAAAAGTTGTTAAGTTGTTTTCGTGTGTGTGTGTGTGTGTGTGTGTGTGTGTTTGTGTGTGTTTGAGACAGGGTTTTACCCTGTCACCCAGGCTGAGGTGTAGTGGTGTGACCATGGCTCACTGCAGCCTCAACTTCCTTGGCTCAGGTAATTCTCCCACGTCAGCCTCTTGAGTAGCTGGGACTACAGGTGCACATCATCACGACCAGCTAAGTTTTTGCACTTTTAGCAGAGATGGGGTTTTGTCACATTGCCCAGGCTGGTCTCGAACTCCTGGGCTCAAGCAATTCTCCTGTCTCGGTCTCCCAAAGTGCTGGGATTACAGGTGTGAACCACCGCGCCTGGTATAATCAAATTTTTTAAGATTAAAAAACCTAAAATATTGATCTAATGTTCTTCCACTTAATGTGCATATTACTTCTAAAATATCCCTTATCCAGCTTGTGAGAATATTGTGGCCTGAAGCGTGGGCTCATGACCTCTGCTCCATGGTTTGTGGGACTTAACTGACTCATGCATGTGCTCCACAAGCATTTGTGATTTTTTTTTTTTTTTTTTGAGAGCCTCTATCGCCAGGCTGGAGTCCAGTGGCACAATCTTGGCTCACTGCAACCTCTGCCTCCCTGGTTCAAGAGATTCTCCCTCCTCAGCCTCCTGAGTAGCTGGGACTACAGGCGTGTGCCACCACGCCCAGTTAATTTTTGTATTTTTAGTGGAGATGGGGTTTCACCATGTTGGCCAGGATGGTCTCGATCGCTTGACCTCGTGACCCACCTGCCTAGGCCTCCCAAAGTGCTGGGACCACAGGTGTGAGCCACTGCGCCTGGCCAGTGATCTTTCTTACTGTGGTGCTGGGGGTCCCCGACATTAGTGATCTTTCTTACTGTGGTGCTGCGATTCGCTGACATTGGTGATCTTTACCACAGTGGTGCTGGCGGTCCCTGAGTGGGCTTGCCTGCAAGGGAGATGGTGGAGTGCTCAGTGGGATTTCGAGGAAGCACAGCAGTGGCTGGAGCTCATTCCACCCCTCCGTGGGCTCCTCCTCCTTTCTCTCCAGAACCTTCTCCTATGTGGCCCAGAAACCTGGGGCTGTGGAAAATGATTGCTGGGGTATCCATTGGGGACTGTGGCAGAGACAGGAGAGGGTCTTTCCTTGTGCTGTCCACACCTTCTGACTACATTAGAGGCAGGTGTCAGGACCCCCTCTTACTGATGATGCAACTGAGCCTCAGAGAGGGAAGGTCACCTGCCTGAGGTCACACAGGACTCAGTGGGCACCCATGGGGAAAGGGCATCAAGGGACCTGGGCAGGGCAGAGTGGCAGGCAGGCTCTGGAGTTGGCAGTCCTGAGTTCTAATCTCAGCTGCGCCATCTCCCCAGTAACCTCTCTAAGCCTCGGCTTTCTTCTCTGTTAAATGGGAACAGTAAGGCCACGTACCCCATCAAGTTGCTGTTAGGATTAAACGAGACCCTGCCAGAGACAATGAATCCAGGGCTCAGCACATTGGGTCCAGGACACAGTGGGGCTGAGAACCCCCAGTTCTCGGTCTGGGTGTGGGCAAGACCGACCCTCAATCTGTGGGGAAAGGAAGGAACACGGTAATTGCAGATGGAAAAGTGCTGTTCTATCATCCACAAAACAAAACAATTACTGAGTGCCAGGCTCTGGGCTGAACACTGAGGATACAGCAGGGAACAAACAGTCCCAAGTCCCTATTCTGGGGGGAGACAGATAATAAGCAACTGGAGGAAGAAGGTTTATTGTTTTTGTTTTTTTTTTTGAGAGGGAGTCTCGCTGTGTCACACAGGCTGGAATGCAGTGGCGCAATCTTGGCTCACTGCAACCTCCACCTCCCAGGTTGAAGTGATTCTCCTGCCTCAGCCTCCTGAGTAACTGGGATTACAGGCGTGCACCACCACGCTGGGCTAAGTTTCATATTTTTTGGCGGAGATGAAGTTTCACCATGTTGGCCAGGCTGGTGTTGAATTCCTGATCTCAAGTGATCCGCCGCCTCGGCCTCCCAGGGTGCTGGGGTTACAGGCATGAGCCACTGTGCCCGGTTGGGAAAATGTTATTGAAGGGGACCAGGGAACGAAAGGAAATGAGGCAGGTTCCCTGCCATATTCCATAGGGTGGGGACAGGGGCAACCTCACAGGGAAGGGAACATCTAAGCAAAGACTGACAGGCAGTGAGAAAGGGAGTCTTGTGGAGATTTAATGGGAGAGCGTTCTGGGGAGGCAGATGAGCCCAGTGCAAAGGCTGTGAGATGGGAATGAGCTCATCCTGTTAGAGGAACAGCAAGAAACCTGGTGGGAAGGGGCAGGAGGGAGGCTGCAGAGGTGTGGGAAAGATGGGTCCTCTCTGAGCTCAGCGGGCCGGTGGAGGGTTTGGGGCAGGCAGATGCTGAGCCCTGAGGCTGAGCTCCTCCGCCGGTCCCTCCAGGAGGATCTCCTTCAAAGGCGCACCCTCGGAGGAGCAGATGCGGGAGACCAGCCTGGGGCTGCTGACGGGCTACCTGGGGCCCATCGTGGACGCCATCATGGGCTCGGTGGGGCGCTGCCCGCCTGCCATGCGCCTCGCCTTCAAGCAGCTGCACCGGCGCGTGGAGGAGCGCTTCCCCCAGGCAGAGCACCAGGTGCGCTGGGCTGGGAGGCTGAGGCTGGGGACGAGCCAGAGCTTGTCCAGGGTCACTCGGAGGAGTCAGAGCAGAGCTGAGACCTGAAGCCAGGCTGCCGGCATTAGAGCACTCTGTCCTGGCAGAAGTGGGGACGGCGTTCTTGGCAGGGTCCGGGTCCTAGGAATGATAATAATCATAAAAATAGGCTGCGCGCCGTGGCTCAAGCCTGTAATCCCAACATTTTGGGAGGCTGAGGAGGGTGGATTGCTTGAGGTCAGGAATTCAAGACCAGCCTGGCCAACATGGTGAAACCCTTTCTCTACTAAAAATACAAAAATTAGCTGGGCATGGTGGCACATGCCTGTAATTCCAGCTACTCAGGCGGCTGAGTCAGGAGAATGGCTTGAACCCAGGAGGCAGAGGTTGCACCAATGCACTCCAGACTGGGTGACAGAGATAGGCTCTGCCTCAAAATAAACAAATAAATAAATAAAATAATGGCAGCTAACATTATATGTAGCCTGACCATGGGCCAGATCTCATTTTAGGTGATTTATGCACTTATTACCCTGTCTAATCATCACTTGCACCCCGTGAGGTGGATACCAGGATTATTCCCATTTTACAGAGGAGGAAACCGAGGCCCAGAGAGCTTAAGTCACACAGCTAGAAAGGGGTTACATTGGGACTGGCACTCACCCAGGCAGGCTGGCTCCTGGGTCTGTGCTCATAACCGGCAATTAATAGAGTCTGGCACAAAGTAAGTGCTTCTTAAAATTCCAGCTGTACGCCAGAGAGAGAGGAAGTAAGAGAGAAGAACGCAGATCTGGTATACAGTAAGTGCTCAGAAACACCCAGAATAAAGTCTAAAAATAAATCCCTGCAGGTGTAGTCTATACTAACGAGGATAGAAAAGTTGAAAACTCAGACGCTGTGAGTTTCCAGCACAAGAACCAAGCAGGCAGCGTGTGCGGTGGTAGTGAGTTGTGCGGACTGCGGCCAGCTGGGGCCCCCAGAGCTTGTCTAAAGTGGACAGCTCCAGGGGATCACTGCCATATAGAAACGGGAGCCAAGTACTGCCAGATCTTTAGAGATTCTGGATTTTATGTGAGGCGTCTTATTTATTTATTCATTTATTTATTACTTTTGAGATGGGGTCTTGCTCTGTTGCCCAGGCTGGAATGCAGTGGCATGATCATAGCTCACTGCAGCCTCTACCAGGCTCGAGTGATCTTCCCACCTCAGCCTCCCGAGTTTCTGGGATTACTTGGCTGCACTGCCACACCCAGCTAATTATTCATTTATTTTTGTAGAGACAGGATCTCACTGTGTTGCCCGAGAGGGTCTTGAATTCATGGCCTCAAGCAGTCCCCCTGCCTCCACCTCCCAAAGTGCTGGAACTACAGGCGTGAACCTATGTGCCCAGCCTGGCCTCTTATTTTTGAAATGTCAGCACGAATTCACCTGAAAACCAAACACACAGAAACATTTTGGGTCAAGCATTTCAAAACATTTGTGGTTGCACTGGCCTATCGGCCACCAGTTTGAGACCACCTGGTTGAATACTGAGCACACTTCCCGAGATGGCTGTCACTGTCCTCACTTGCAGATAACATCGGGTGAGACTTTTCTGTAGTGCTGATGTATCAGACCCAGGGGTCACTTTGCAGGAAGATCTGAGACCTGCTACAGGACGTCACTGTCATAGCCCACTTCCCAGAGCATCATTGGAGAGCATTTGAGTTATGCCATATTTCTCTTCACTTTCTGTTTACAGACAGGGAAACTGAGGCCCAGAGAGGCAAAACACCTTGGCCAAGGGTTTTCCAGACTCCCAGTTGAGGTCCCTCCCCTCCTCCCTGAGGAGTGAGCTCTGGGCCTTGACTCTGGGATGTAGCTTGGCTTACACCTCACCTGGCTAGGCTCTCACCCGGGCTGCCGGTAGAGGTGTTAAGTCGGGCACAGCAGTGGCAGGGAACAGGGAGGAAAAGGAGGAGGCCAGCTCCCAGACAGCCTAGACCTTGTAGGAGGAGCCAATATCGGTGACACCCAAGTGTCCCCTAGTTCTCAGCCCCCAAGGTGGGCCGAGAGCAGGGACTTTCTCAGGCCCAGGGAACCCAGGGAAGCCTCCTTCTCTGCTGTGCTGATACCGGTTCCTCGCCCTCAAAAAGGAGGAAGCTAATGAGCTGATATGCAGTCTAATATTACTCTGGACTACAGATGGTGGGGTGGTAGTGGTCACTTTGGGGACAGTTCAGGGCTTCAGATGGAGGGGAAGACGCTCCCTCTGGGCAGTTCCAGGTACCCAGCTCCTGCAGGGCTCACTGTCAAGGCCAAGATGACACCCCAGGGAGGGCATTGTTTCATGTGTGACTGCAACCTCTAAATAAACACAGGCGCAGACTCTCGGGCTAAATGTAGTGGGGCAAGTGTGAGAGGTGGGTGGGGAGCTGGTTTGCGGGGAGCAAGATGCACCTAGGATGGAGGGACACCCTTCCCTGAGTCACCTCCACTGGCGCTGGGGAACAAGCCTTACCTTTAGATGGGCCGGGCCCCAGACTCACATGGAGGGGCACCGTACTCTGCAGTTTGTAGAGGGCAGAGGTTGGGGGTGGGGAGGTGCACATAGGATGGACCCAAGCCCATCAGACTGGGTTCAGTACTGATCTTCAGTTTCCTCATCTGAAAAAATGGGATGGTAGCACCTACCTACCCCTACAGGGTTATCTGAGGACTAAACGTGGTAGTTGAGGCTTGGTTTCTAACACTTGGTGAGGGCTCCTTGGTAGCTGGTGTTGAATGGCAGGAGAGTGTGGCGAAGAATAGAGAGTTCAAATCCTTGGCTGGGCACGGTGCCTCACACTTGTAATCCCGGCACTTTAGGAGGCCAAGGCGGGTGGATCACTTGAGGTCAGGAGTTTAAGACCAGCCTGGCCAGCATGGTGAAACCTGGTCTCTACTAAAAGAAAAAAGAAAAAAAAAAAAAAAAGAAAAAGAAATATGTATAATATATACACACACATATACATATATATATACACACAAAAAAATTAAAAATTAGCTGGGTGTGGTGGTGTACACCTGTAATCCCAGCTACTCAGGAGGCTGAGGCATGAAAATCACTTGAACCTGGGAGATGGAGGTTGCAGTAAGCAGAGATCATGCCACTGCACTCTAGCCTGAGTGACAGAGCATGACTCTGCCTCAAAAAAAAAAAAAAAGAATAAAAAGAAAAAAAAAATCAAAGTCCAACTCCCGGCTCTGCCACTTATGGCTGTGTGGCCTTAGGCGAGGAAACTTCCCTCTCTGGGCCTCAGTTGCCTCTGCTGTAAAATGGAGATGCAATGCTTCCTGGGGTGAGTATTACATAAACAAATGTATAAAGAGGTACCTGTCCTGCTGCTATTATCATAAATCCCAGATCTGGGTTTGAATCCTGATTTTGCCACTCATTAGCTGTGTGACCCTGAGCAAATCGCTTGATGTCTCTGAGCTTCTGCTTCTTCATCTGTAAAATGGGAGTCATGATGGTGCCTCCCTCATAGGGCTGTGCTCTTGGCATAGTGCTTGGCACAAAGGCAATTCTGAGGACATTTGGCCAAATTTGCTTTTGTAGAATTGGTTTTGTTATTCCATTTTCCAGGTGGGAAAATTGAGGCCCAGAGAGGAAAAACTTCCTTGGCTGGCCAGTGGGGCTTCCTGGTCAATTTCCTATCCCATTTCTCTTTGCACCGCAAATTTCTAGTTCTTGCTGCCTCAGTTTACCTGGCTGGGAAGTGGGTTTGGGGGGGCTTCTCTTACCTGTTGCTCCTCCCAGCAGGACGTGAAGTACCTGGCCATCAGTGGCTTTCTCTTCTTGCGATTCTTTGCACCAGCCATCCTTACCCCGAAGCTGTTTGACCTGCGGGACCAACATGCAGACCCCCAGACGAGCCGCTCACTGCTGTTGCTTGCCAAGGTGCCAGCTGTGAGGTTCCCCCATCCCCCATACTCTTAGCCAGGGATAAAGCATGGTAGGAACAGAGCTGGGAGGCCAGACCCGCGGAAGACCCAAAGAACACCCAAAGAAACCCATGTCTGAAACACCACCACTAGGATTCCATTCCAAGGGTGAAGGCAGTCATTATGACTCCAGTTTCCTCTTTGGAAATGAAAACCCAACCCTTCCAGGAGGAGAGTGGAAAGCAGGCTAGCAGTCATTCACACCTGGGTATGAGTTAGATCATCTTTTGCAAAGGGGCAACAACTTGAGATTCTGCTGGGCTCCTGGTATGCATGGAGCATTCCATGGTAGGACTGAGCAGTCCTGGCTGGGGGAGGGTCTGGGCTTGGGAGGGAACAGAATAAAGTCACTGGAGGGTGCAGATTCCAAAAAGAGGAAGGCGAAACATATATCACCTAAGGCAGTCATTGATATGAATCTTCTTATTTATTTATGTATTTCTTTGAGACAAGTCTTGCTCTGTCACCCAGGCTGGAGTGCAGTGGCATGATCTTGGCTCACTGCAACCTCCACCTCCTGGGTGGAAGCGATCCTCCCACCTCAGCTTCTGGAGTAGCTGGATTTATAGGCGTGCACCACCATGACTGGCTAATTTTTGCATTTTTAGTAGAGATGGGGTATCACCATGTTGGCCAGGCTGGTCTTGAACTCCTGACCTCAAGTGATCCACTTACCACAGCCTCCCAAAGTGCTGGGATTATAGGTGTGAGCCACCATGCTTGTCAATATAAGTCTTCCTTTTACTGAGCACTAATTTGGGAGCCAGGAGTCCACAGAGGGCCCTCCCCTCTGCCGTGACCTTGGCCCTGGCATCCCCCGATTCTTTGCTCCAGGCTGTGCAGAGCATCGGAAACCTGGGCCAGCAGCTGGGCCAGGGCAAGGAACTGTGGATGGCCCCCCTGCACCCCTTCCTGCTGCAGAGCATCTCACGTGTCAGAGACTTCCTGGACCAGCTGGTGGATGTGGATGGGGATGAGGGTGAGTTCCTCTGGTCCTGCCACACCTGGCTTCTCAACCCAGTTGGGACACCACTCAGGGATGCCCCTTTCCCCCAACCAGCTCCTCAGCACTGAAAATGTGAATCTGTGGGTCAGTCAGTCAGTCAACTAACATTTCCTGACACCTACTGTGCTAGGTCCCAGAGATGAACAGAGCCCAGAGCCCAGGTGCTGTCCTCCAGGCCATCCCAGCCAACATGGGGTTGTGGTTGTGGGTGGGATCGTGGCATGGTGTGCATGCAATCGACAAACATCTGTTAAGCGCTTACTATGTAATAGGTACATTTCTAGGTGCTCGGGATACAGCAGTGAACAAGACAGAGAAAAATCTCATCTTATAGAGGTTTTATTTTGTTGGGGACCACAGGCTGTCAGCAAAATGAATAAGCAACTTATGTGCGTTGTTAGAGAGCTGTAAGTGCTAAGGAGGGAAAATCAAGGAGGAAAGATAGGACCTGAAAGGGAACGGGTAGAGAGCCGTGAGGATCCCAGGAAGAGTGTGCCAGGCAGTGCACAGCATGTGCAAGGGCCCTGAGGTAGGACAGAGAGCAGCAGTGAGGACACCTGTGAAGAAGAGTGAATTGAAGCAGAGGGGAGGCAAAGAGGCGAGGCCAGAGAGGTGAGGGGGCCTCATAGGCATCGGGAAGGATTTCAGCTTTGACTTGCAGTGAAACAGAACCACAAGATGATTTGTAGTAGAAAAGTTGTGGTTGAGTCCATGCCAAATGTGGGGGCCAGGTCATCACCTAGTTGGGTCCCAGTCCCATGGGAGCAACCTGTCAGAATGTAGAGCCTGACTGTGGCACGGTGGGGTCCCTGTGGTGCTGGGGTGGGGTGGTGGGGCTGTGTCCTGGCTCCCTGGGCATGGTTAGATGCAGGGCACTGCCTGGATGGGACCCCGTAGGGTATGGCTGCTCCTGCAGGAGGGCGAGACCAGCATGGCCAACATGGTGAAACTCTGCAGATTTCTCTGGTTGGAGAGGTCTTCAGGGGCTACTCTGACCACTTCCTCCTCCCGGCTTCCATGATTGCATTCCCTATTGAGGGAGTGGAGTCGGAAGTCATCCTGCCTCTAAGGGAGCAGAGAACAATGTCCATCCATTGAGGCCCTCCCTGGGCATGCTAGTGGAGCAGGGTGAGCCTGAAGAGGGCAGGCTCACTGTCCATCGTCTCATCTCCCATTTCCCAGGGGCTGCTGTCCCAGCCAGGGCCCTGGTCCCGCCCTCAGCGATTGTTCGAGAAGGCTATCTGCTGAAGCGCAAGGAGGAGCCCGCCAGCCTGGCCACCCGCTTCGCCTTCAAGAAGCGCTACGTCTGGCTCAGCGGGGAGACCCTCTCCTTCTCCAAGAGTCCTGAGTGGCAGGTGGGGTTCTAGTCCACTATGGAGGGGCTTTCAGGGGTGGCCTTTTTCAGGGTGCTGCCTCTTTGTACCCACCAGGATCTAGGTCACATGCTAGACGGATTGTAAATTTTGGATGTGTTCACTAGGAACATGTGCAGACATTCAGGCACATCCATCCAAGCATTCATTCACCCGTTCATTCATTCATTCAGCAAATATTTATTGAGTGCCTACTATGTGCCAGTGTCCTAGGCACTGGAGATACAGGAGTGAACAAGACAGGTGGAAACCCTGTGCTTGTGGGGCTGGCGTTCGTGACTAGAATGCCCCGAGACCTGTGCTGGAATCTCCGGCACGGGGAGCTTAGTGCACAGCAGTAGATGGTCACAGCTAACACTGGGAAGGGAGCCCATGCCAACCCTGTCCATTTTATCAGATCAGCGGAGATTCTAGGGGTCCACTCTCTGGGTTCTGATTTTGGGTCCACCCGATGAGTGACCTTGGAAGGGTCATCTATCTTCCTGTGCCTCAGTTTTCTCATCTGAAGGTTGGGGAGAATAATCGAACCAACCCCAGAAGTTTGCTGTGATCATTAAATAAGTTGATCAATGTTAAATGCTTAGAACTGGTCCCAAGCGCCATAGAAGTGGTAGCTACTATTAGGAAGGAAACCGATGCGGACGCCGAGAGAAGTCACTTAGAAAGGTGGCGGCGCCAGTGGCTCACGCCTGTAATCCCAGCACTTTGGGAGGCTGAGGTGGGCGGATCACCTGGGGCCAGGAGTGTGAGACCAGCCTGGTCCACATGGTGAAACCCGGTCTCTACTAAAAATACAAAAATTAGCTGGGCGTGGTGGTGCATGCCTGTAATCCCAGCTACTTGGGAGGCTGAGGCAGGAGAATCGCTTGAACCTGGGAGGTGGAGGTAGCAGTGAGCCATGATCGTGCCACTGCACTCCAGCCTCGGCAGAGAGAGACCCACTCAATTAAAAAAAAAAATGGATAGGGCAGGACTCGTGAACAGCCCACCTGGATGGATGGAGGGGCACACACAGCACAGACTTAGTGGGTGGAATGTCCCGCCTCTGGGAACTGAGTTCACCTGCCTCACACAACCAGACGGAAGCTGTCCCCACCCCGGCCCTAGACCCCAGCCCATCCGGCAGCGACAATCCTCTTCCCCAGACGCGCCACTCCATCCCGGTGTCGCACATCCGCGCCGTGGAGCGCGTGGACGAGGGCGCCTTCCAACTGCCCCACGTGATGCAGGTGGTGACGCAGGACGGCGCGGGGGCGCTGCACACCACCTACCTCCAGTGCAAGGTAAGGCCCCGCAGAGACTGGGAGCTGGGGCGTCCCTCGGTTCCCACCCCGCCCCCTGATCGCCTCCCACCCGCTGCAGAATGTGAACGAGCTCAACCAGTGGCTCTCGGCCTTGCGCAAGGCCAGCGCCCCCAACCCGGACAAGCTGGCCGCCTGCCACCCCGGTGCCTTCCGCAGCGCGCGCTGGACCTGCTGCCTCCAGGCTGAGCGTTCAGGTGAGGGGACAGGGCGGACTGCAGGCTCCGCCCTTCTCACCCGTCAATCAGCGGGTGTCCCACCTCCGCCCGGGCTGGCCGTGCAACTTCGGGCAAGTTACTCAACCTCTCTATGCCTCAGTCTCCTCAACTGCGAAATGGGGTTAATGACAGTGCCTACCTACCTCATGGAGTTGTGAGGATTAAATGGCTAGGTTTGCACAAAGCGCATAGGACGGTACTTGGCCCATTCGGCGCATTTTTAAAGTACTCACTAGGTGCCAGCATCCAGTGGTGCCCAGACATCACGTAGCTTGTTCTCAAGAAAGATGGATGCATAACCCCCAATTTTTTTTTTTTTTTGTGACAGAGTCTCACTCTGTCTTCCAGGCTGGAGTGCAGTGGCACAATCTTGGCTCACTGCAACCTCCGCCTCCAGGCTTCAAGCAATTCTGCCTCAGCCTCCTGAGTAGCTGGGATTACAGGTGTGTGCCACTGCACCCAGCTAATTTTTTTTATATTTAGTCGAGACGGGGTTTCACCATGTTGGTCAGGCTGGTCTCAGACTCCTGACCTCGGGTGATCCACCTGCCGTGGCCTCCCAAACTGCTGGGATTACAGGCGTGAGCCACCGCTCCAGGTCCGAGACTGGTTTTTAAGTTATGTGTAGAGACAAGGTCTCGCTATGTTGCCCAGGCTGGTCTCGAACTCTTGGGTTCAAGTGATTCTCTCATCTCAGCTTCCAAAAGTGCTGGGATTTCAGGCATGAGCCACTACGCGTGGCCTAGAAGTAGTAGATTTGAGGAGGGGTTTTAGAGGCAGAAGGGGCAGGGCTTGGCAGCTGCCTGGCTGTGGGGGCTTCTGGAAGGGAAGAGGACATTACTGATGAATGAAGCTATGTCCCCTCAGCTGCTGGCTGCAGCCGTACACACTCGGCCGTCACCCTAGGGGACTGGAGTGACCCGCTGGACCCTGATGCTGAGGCCCAGACAGTGTATCGGCAGCTGCTCCTGGGGCGGGACCAGCTCAGGTGGGTGCCCCCACCCATCCCATTTCACCTATGACCAGCCAGCCCAGCCACCCACCATGGCCTTACTGTGTTCATTTAGTCACTCTTTGCATGTGTGTTGGGGGATCTTCCCCGGGGCCCTGGCCCAGGCCCAGGGTGGGAACTGGGTGTATCCACTGTCAGGGGTTGGGAAGCATCCTCAGTGGGAGGGGTTTCTCATGCAGAACTGGGTCTTGGGATCTTTTTTTTTTTTTCCCATTTATTTTATTGCATTTTAGGTTTTGGGGTACATGTAAAGAACATGCAAGATTGTTGCATAGGTATACACGTGGCAGTGTGATTTGCTGCCTTCCTCCCCATCACCTACATCTGGCATCTCTCCCCTTGCTATCTCTCCCCAGCTCCCCACCCCCCTGGGGCCCCAGAGACCCTGGCACAATTCACGTAAAATCTTGGCCCCTGCACTTGCTAAATCACCTTGGATAGACCTCTTTCCCTTGCTGGTATGAGGATCACTGTCACTGTTACTTGGTGACAGAAATTTGTCCCAACTGATTATAGAGTGGGTTCTGAAGCTGACCTACCTGGGTTCAAATCCTGACCTAGCCACTTACCAGATGTGTGATCTTTTTTTTAAAAAAATTATTTATTTATTTATTAAATTATTTATTAATTTAGATAGAGTCTAGCTCTGTTGCCCAGGCTGGAGTGCAGTGGCATGATCTCAGCTCACTGCAACCTCCTCCTCCTGGATTCAAGCGATTCTCCTGGTTCAGCCTCCCAAGTAGCTGGGATTACAGGTGCTTGGCTAGCCACCACGCTCGGCTAGTTTTTGTATTTTTAGTAGAGACAGAGTTTCACCATGTTGGCCAGGCTAGTCTCGAACTCCTGACCTCAAGTAATCCACCACCCTCATCCTAGCCCTCCCAAAGTGTGGAGGTTACAGGCATGAGCCACTGCACCCGGCCAGGCTGTGTGATCTTAAACAAGCTGCTTCACTTCTTTGTACTTCAGTTTCCTCATTGGAAAAGGGGGATAGTAATGGTAGGGACCTTGTGGGTTTTCCTGAGGATCAAAAGAGCTAATACAGTTAGAGCACTTTGTAGGCGCCTGGGCACGTAGCTTTCAATAAATGGTAATGATGATGATGATGATGATGATGCTGTGTGACCTTAGGCCAGTTACTTAACCTCTCTGTATCTCAGTAATCATCTGTATAATGGAGCTAATAGTAAATACGTACCTCATATAAGTTTGTCATGATAATTAAATGAGTTACTACATGTAAAAGGTTTAGAATAGCATCTGGCACTCTAGAAATGTTTGCTGTATAGATGATGATGATGATGGTAGATGGCGATGGTGATGATTCAGCAAAACTAATTTCTCAGAGAACCTCTGGGGTAGAAAGCAGGATTGGGAATCAGGGACCAGACTTGTCTTTCTCCTTCTCACCTTCCAGGCTGAAATTGCTGGAGGATTCCAACATGGATACAACTCTGGAAGCAGACACAGGTAAGGGCTCCTGTACCATAGAAGGTAAAAGCCAGGCACAGTGGCTCACACATGTAATCCCAGCGCTTTGGGAGGCTGAGGTGGGCGGATCACTTGAGGTTGGGAGCTGGAGACCAGCCTGGCCGACAGGGTGAAACCTTGTCTCTACTAAAAATGTAAAAATTAGCCAGGCGTGGTGGTGCACACCTATAATCCCAGCTACTCCGGAGGCTGAGGCAGGAGAATTGCTTGAACCTGGAATGCAGAGGTTGCCGTGAGCTGAGATCATGCCATCGTACTCCAGACTAGGCGACATAGCGAGACTCTGTCTCAAAAAAAAAAACAAACAGCAGCAGCTGAGGGGTCAAGGAGGTCGCTTTGAACTCGCAGGCACGTCCCCGCTGTCTGCCAAGCACACCCCTATGTCCTCCTGTTTCCAGTCTATCATCGGGCCATGGGGCTGTGTGGGGGCAGTCTCAAGGATTTTAGGGTTCTCAGGGCGCAAGGCACATCTGCAGCGTGAGAAGCCATAGGGTCGGGGTTACAGCAGCCTGCCCTGGACTGGCTGAGCCCCTGTGGCCTCTTGTCTCCCTCCTAGGGGCCTGTCCTGAGGTCCTGGCCCGGCAGAGAGCAGCAGCTGCCCGCCTGCTGGAGGTGCTCGCAGACCTGGATCATGCCCATGAGGAATTCCAGCGGCAAGAGCGAGGGAAGGTGGCCCTGGGCCCCCTCGGCCCCTGAGGAAATGCCAGAGCCAGCCTGGAAGGAGGAGCAAGGAGCCGGGAGGGCCCTCCTCAGCGCATCCTGCCCCAGAATTCTCCTCCCAGAATTCTCCTCGTACGTCTTTGATCCTGTGGTTTGGAGGCTCCCAGAGACATGCCTAGTCCTGTGTGCCTAGAGTCCAGAACTCAGGGCGTAGAAGCCCTCTGCCAGGGGCCAGCCTTGCGCTGAGTGAACCTCGTTCTCTGGGTTGATTCAGTCTGGAGTGGATAGGATAAGGAACCTGACTTATTTGACTGAGACTGGGGTCTCTGCTTCACCAGACTGGCCTCTATCCATACCAAGGAGGCCAGTGTGGCCCTGAGCTGCTGGATACAGCTGGACCTGAATTCCTGATGCCCATGTGATGTTGTTGCCCCAGATAGGCACTAAATGGGCTCACCCCTTTCTGTTTTTGTGTCTGCTAATCTCTATAACCTCACTGATTCTTCTGTACCCTGCCCTAGGCCTAGGACCCCAAACACAAGCTTCCAGAATCAGTACCCTCAGGAAGGACCGAGGCTGGGTGAGGATCTAGTGTGCCATGCTTAGACCCTTGGAACCTGGGAAACCTTGGGCAAGGCTCTTTGACTCTCTTTGAGTCTCAGATTACCCTGCATAAAAAGAGGAGGGACAGTCTAGATGTGTGGTTTTCAAACTGGATTGCAACGAGGTAGTCCAGGAGCCAGGGAGGGGTTTCTCTGGCTGTGGGCCAAAGACCACCCACTGGAATTTCTGCTAGAAACGCAGGTTTCTGAGGCCCAGCCAGCTACTGACTCAGAATCTGAGGGTATATGCAGGCAAGAATCAGGTTATTTAACAGGTTCCTTAGGTCATGTGAATGAACAACAGCTTTGAGGACCACAGACCTGGGGAGGGGGCAATTTAATTTTATTTTGTTTTGAGAGCCGGGGGCCTCACTGCCTCAGGCTGCAATACAGTGGCATGATCACAGATCACGGCAGCCGCAAACTCGTGCACCTCAATGATCCTCCCACATCAGCCTCCAGAGCAGCTACGACTACAGGTGCAAGCCACCACACCCGGCTAATTTTTAAATTTTTGTAGAGATGGGGGTCTCACTATGTTGTCCAGGTTGGTCTCAAACTCCTGGAGTCAAATGAGCCTCCCACCTCGGCCTCCTTAGTTGCTGGGATTACAGGTGTGAGCCATGGTGCCTGGCTTGCAATTTTATATGCCAGGGTTTGGGTTGAGGTTTTGTCTGAGAATGAACCACGGAGTACAAATGTTTGGGAACGCGTGACTGGCAGAACTGGAAGGGCCTCCAAGGACTCATTTCCGGTGTTGTGTCACTAGGGGGTGGGACAGAAACCAAAGCCTTCCTGGCAGGGGATCTAGTGAACCAAGACACGGTGCTATCCCAAGGGTGGCCAGCAGGGGTTGCCCGAAGCCGCGGCATACACCAGACTGCAGGGGTGACCGGCAGTTTGCAGAGGCTGATTTATGGCTTGTGCATCCTGTGGTCCATCCCTGTCTTTCCCTAGCTGAACCTGACCCTCCTCAGCTTACGAGCTCTGAGATCCCGATGGGCTCATCAAAGTGTCTCCCAGCTCCTCCGTATTCTCCCCAAGGCTCCCAGCTCTCGCCCTGAGTTCCTTGTTTCTTGTCATTGTGCCAGGGAGCATATGTGTGCATTGCCTTGTGCTCTTGTGAAAGAGACGGCTACTTTCACCTCTGCATTCTTGGAGACTAGGACTAGGAGGTCTGCCATTGCTCCACCGCCCCCATCCCTTCCAGCCTTCGGCAATGGCCCTGAAGTTGCCATTCTCTTGCAAGCCATCGCTCCCCAACAGGGCTGACTGTAGCCCCCAGGAACAGAGCCACCCACCCCTCTCTTGGCAGGAAAAGACCAGGCGAGGAGGAGAAAGACCATTTATTTCTCCACCCACAGTGGGACTGGTAGGTTTTGAAAAGAGCAATCGCTGGCATCCCTTTAAATCTTGGCTGACTCCCACCGTGGCAGCCAATCACCAGAGGCAGAGCTGGTGAGTTGCCTGGGCAACGGGCCCCTGGTTGGCCGGAGACGATTAGCCACCCCACTGCCCATTCCTAATGAAAGGGAAATTGACTCTCTGCTGTCCACTCTGCTTTAAAATGCACGGGGCCAAACTAGGCCTCCTTCTCTCACTCCTGAAGCCAGAAGCACCAGCCTTTGGCTTTCAAAATTGGGAGCGATTTGGTGGAGAGGATGGGGTAGGGAGGACAGGAGAACAGTGCCTTTACCTGGGACAGACAGAAGGCCTGGAGATGGGAAGCGAGGATATCAGAGTCCAGAGAGATGAAGAGGCACAAACACAAAACCAGGTCCCTCTAGTCCCCACCTGCGCTGGCCATCCTTTTGTAGAACTGCTCAGTCATCTGGGGCTTCCACTCCATGGGCCCACAATTGCCCAATCAGTGGGTGGCAGAGACAAGTGATGACATGGGTAAGGCGTGGGGGGTACACTGCGTTTCCCAAGTCCCTCTTTGCCTCCAGAAGCCTCGTAGGCCCCTACGGGTTTGCCCTGCATCCTCCAGTTGGAAGACAAGCCTGTACAGATGCAACTGAGACACAGATGGGGATCTACACAGGGGGGTTACAGGGGTCCTTCTGTCTCTTCTCTTCCAGCCTGGGGGCAAGTAGAGGCACGTGGGTGTGCGTGCATGAGTTCCATAGGACACGTGTGTTTGTGTGTGAGGGGGCGGGTCTCTGTCTTTTCAGTAGGGAGGTTTCCGGTACTCTGTGCTCGGCCCCCTCCAGGAGCTATGATTCGGAGCCAGCCTGACATGCCATCTCTCTTCATCCCAGCTGCCACCAGGCAGGTCCCCTGAATGGCTGCGGCTCCTTCCGCAGGCTCCTCCCCAGCCCTGAACATGGGCTACCAGGACACACCTGGCGGAGGAGGCATTTGCCGGACCAGGGGCAAAGCAGGAGGGAAGATGGGCAGCCTGGGGCCTCAGGCCTTGGCCGCAGCCTCGGATACACCCTGGGCTGTGAGCTCGGCCAGCACGTTGTCTAGGTAGCTAGCGTCCGGGTAGCCGTGGCCCGTGAGGTTGGATCCAAACTCGGTCTTGTGGTGGATCTCGTTCCACACCACGGTGTCCGACTCGCCTGTGGTATTGGACGTGCCGATGGTGAAGATGAGTCTTCTCTCCCAGGCCGTGATGAGCAGCCGCAGCACCTGGGGGGTAGGGAGACGGCGGCGCCGGGCGCAGGTCACAGGCAGCTTCCAGCCCGCCAGCCTCAGCCTCCCTCCCTCCCTCCCCTGCCACACCATGGCTATGGCTCCATCCATTGGAACCAACTATATAATGCCGGCTTGGCCATTTCCTTTACATTTGTATTTCCTGAACTGCCAGTAAAAGCGATTTCCAAGTTATTTATGTTTTTTTTTTCCTTTTCTTTCTTTCTTTCATTTTTTTTGAGGCAAGGTCTGGCTGCGTTGCCCAGGCTGGAGTGCAGCAGCACGACCAGAGCTCACTGCAGCCTTGAACTCCTGGGCTCCAGCAATCCTCCCACATCAGCCTCCCCTGTAGCTGCGACTACAGGCGGGCGCCATCAAGCCCAGCTAAAATTGTAAAGTTTCGAGAGAGACGGCGTCTCACTATGTTGCCCAGTTTGCTCTCAAATTCCTGGCCTCAAGTGATCCTCCCACCTTGGCCTCCCCAAGTGCTGGGATTACAGTTGTATGCCACTGCACTTGGCTTGCCTGTTTCTTTATTTATTTATTTATTTATATTTTTCCAAGACAGATTCTTGCTCTGTCACCCAGGATGGAGTGCAGTGGCACAATCTCAGCTCACTGCAACCTCTGCCTCGTGGGTTCAAGCAATTCTCTCGCCCAGCCTCCTGAGTAGCTGGGCCTATTGGCACAGGCCACCACGCCCGACTAATTTTTTGTAGTTTTAGTAGAGATGGGGTTTCACCATGTTGGCCAGGCTGGTCTTGAACTCCTGACCTCGTGATCCACCTGCCTCGGCCTCCCAAAGTGCTGGGATTACAGGCGTGAGCCACCGCACTCAGCCCTGACTGGTATTTTTCTGGGGTGAAGAAAGCATCTGGCAGCTCTCTGCCCTGTTTAGTTTGAACTGAACACTGTATTAAAGAGCCACTTGTAAATTAGTTACTAACATTCAAAAGCCTGGCGATTTCCCATGAAAATCTGGCTTTCTGGCTGCCCTTGAAAAGCAGAAACTCAAATCAGATGACTTGTAGTGTGGTGGTGAGAGCTTGAACTGCCTGGGCTCAAATCCCAGCTCCGTCACTCAGTTTCTGTGTGACCCTGCGCAAGTGACTTGCCCCCTCTGAGGCCTTGCATCTTTGTCTATGAAATGGGATCAGGACCTTGACCTTAGCGTCTTGGGAAAGGAGATAAGGTGTGTGAAGGAGGTGGCCATGGTCATTTCTGTTGGGGTGCTGGTTTCGGGAGGAAGACGAAAGCAGGGATTGGGAATGAAGGGGACATGGGCCAGGCCGGTGGTGGCTGGGCCCCTGCCTGCGCCCATCTCCCGTGCCTTCACGGCTGGGCACCCACCTTCCGGCCCTTCTCGTTGTTGGGCAGATAGCAGTGGCGAGGGAAGCCTCTCGCAGTGAACTTCTTCCCCGGGTTGGGGTGCTCAGGGCCCTGCAGGGAGGGACAGGAGCAGGGATTTAGGCCACAAACTGGTGGTGGCAGGGCGGGGGAGAGTCTGGAGGAGTCGGAGGGGAGTGGGGGCTGGGGGCCAGAGAGGCCGGGTGAGGGGGGAGCCCACCTGGATGCCTGTGGGGATGTCGTAGACGATTCGGATGGTCTGGGTGTCAGGGAAGCCAGGCAACGAGTGGGGGATGAGGTGGAACTCCATCTTCCCAGGTGGCTGTGTCCCCGTCTTCTCCCCATAGATGGCCTTGCAGGTGGGGCACTGCAGGCTGCCATCCTGGGCAGGGGAGGCTGGCAGTGAGTTCCCAGGGCCCTCCCCCAACCCCGCTCTGTCCCCTGCCCACTCCCCAGCCACTGTCCCACCCAACCCACCTTGTTGCCATTGGAGTACATGGCCACGAGGCACAGCAGGTGGTACATGTGGCCGCAGCGGCCCAGGCGGCCCACGAGCTCAGGCCGCACACCCTTGTGCCGAAGCACACCCTCGTAGCCGGACGCTGTGACCAGCCGCTCCATGCAGATGGTGCAGTCCTGCGGGTGGGCAGAGGGGAGACTGAAGACTGGGGACAGCAGGGCACTTACTAGGTCAGCACCGCCCCTCAGCGGGTCACCATAGGCAGCAGACCACACTCTCTCTGGCACCCATTTGGCAAAGGGAGACAGGACACACCCTCTGCCCCGTACATTGTTTTCCCTTTTTTTTTTCAGAGATAGGCTCTGTTGCCCAGGCTGGAATGCAGCAGTGCAGTCATGGCTCACTGCTGACTTGAACTCCTGGACTCAAGAGATCCTCCTGCCTGAGCCTCCTGAGTAGCTGGGACTACAGGCATGAGCCACTGCACCCGGCCCCTTCCCGTATATTGAATTCAGATATATCACAGAGGAAGATGGCTCTCTCACCACTCCCCAGGTGAATTAAGGGCTTCACTATGAAAAGCAAAACTTAAAAACATTTAGTGGAAAATATGGG